ATTTTTTGCCTTTTATTTTGTTTCCCCTATGTTTGTCCTAAATAAGGTTATTTTGTCAAATACTTTATGTTGCAAATTTATATTTAGGTTAGCTATAAAATATATAACGATTTAATTCCACATATTTTAGTAATCCATTTTAAATCAATAATATATACATATATATATATATATAACATGTCAATTCTTTTTTTTAATTATTTTATATTTAATACAATAATTATCTATTTAAATAAAACTAATAAATTATATAGATGATAATTATCTATCTATTTAATATGAATTTTAACATTATGCATTACATAAACTGTTGATTGTTCATTTTTCGGCACTGATTCATTCTACAAATTTGCTTTTATATAACTTTTGTTCACATAATGCACTATCGTAAACTCTTAATCATATTTTATTTTTTTTATTTACATCTCACTACAATTTTTTTTGAAAAAAGATAAGTTATAATAATTTTTTACAGTTGTATTAGAATTTTCTTACTTGTACATAATTGTTTACATAAAATGATATTTGTATTATTTTTATACAACGTAAAAATTATATTTTATGCTTAATCTTCTCTAAAAATAAGTGTACTACACGATTACTCTAAAGAGTACATATTTTTGTGCATATATATATATATACACATGAATATATATACATAAATTAATTAAAAAAAGTAAAGTAAAAAAAATATTTTTAGTCCAAATGAAGTTATTTTCTCAACTAATTTTAAATAAGTATATCTCACCTAGTTTTCTAAAATATTTGTGGAGAAAATAAATCCTCAATATGCACATAATTACACAAAATAAATAGTAAAAAAAAATAATACAAGATTTAACATGATTAAGCAAGTATACCTATATTAACGGAAAAGACCAAGAAGAAACTTTTTACTATGATAAAAATTGAGAGTACATCACCAATAAAGTTATAAACTCTTATATAAATAAAGTACTAAGGTTTTCTTCTAGAATATTTCATAAGATATACACTGAATATTCTTTAAGATATACACAAAATATTCTTTAGGATATATAAAAAATATTTCCTATGATATATACAAAATATTTAGAGAATCAAGTTACATCAACAAATCTTCTTGTTGGCTTGAATTCTCTCCATGAACAAAGAAACATAATTGCTTCATCATATTATCTTGCCAAAATACCCTCATAAGATACTATTGATAATTACATACTCTAACCAAGTTTAGGCATTGCCTAAACGTGCTAACAGGGATCGCCCTAGTCATCATATTTGCAGGATTCTCAAGTGTAGACTACTTCTGCATAACTTCAATACCATGTGATATAATGTCTCGAATGAAGAAATATAGTCATCAAGTTCTTCACACACAACATTAACCCACTGATTTGCATTTGAGTTACCCGATTCTTGCAAATCAACTGTCCCTGCAATTGATAAAGCATATGCAACTAGATTTTCATGCCTCTGTGGTAATTTAATTTGTCTTATTTCCTTACCTATTACAATACTATATAATTGTTATTGATCATGTGTACTATCATCTTCTTGATTTTTATACCTCTAGCTGTACTTATTCACGATTGTGCTACTATTTTCTCATTCTGATTGTCTAGTGAAGTAGATTCATTAAATATTACATCTCTAATGATAATTAACCTTCGAGACTTTGGATCATTGCACTGTAACCAAGTTTAAGGCACTATTTAGTATTAAATACTCTAACCAAGGTTAGGTTATGCTTAAACTTATTAACAAGGATCGCCTTGGTTATTATATCTACAAGATTCTTAAGTATAGACTCTTTCTACACAACTTCAGTACCCTATGATATAATATCCTAAATGAAGTAATATTTGTCGTTAAGTTCTTCACACATAGTACCAAGTCACTTGTCATGGACCATACCCCGTCTTACAGGATAATGACTGGAGCATACTTACTTAAATCACATATACCCGAGTTAAGTAAAATAACTTAACTTTATTAATCATAACAGAGTCGCAAAAGCATTACATATCTTAAATATAAAATATAAACATATGTACGAGACTTTAAATTTTTTCACTTATATTACTAAATAAAAGTACAAAATAGTAACCTTAATTTCATCCGTATAACTACTCACTCTGCAATGGTATCTTCACTATCTGGAGGGTGATGAGGGGGGTGAGATAAAATATCTCAATAAGGATATTATAAAATCAAAATATAGTACATGCAATATATAATTTTTTTACATACAATAAAATATATATCATATAAAATTTTTAAAATATATACGAATCAGAAAACGGATACACAAATTAGAAAATAGATCCATAATTGTTTCGTTGTATACTTCATCATCATTATGGGGGACCAATTAGTTATCATACATTATGTGTAAGTACAGATACCTATTACTGGTTTTTCATGTATCCGAACACGGAACGACATATATGAGTACCTTAAAATATTGCTACCCTCTGAACACAAAACAATTAAAGAATGTAGATTGTAAAAACCTAAAACTTAATGGAAATGAAAATATTGCATTATAACAACTATAAGCATAAGCAATTTAGAATTTAGGGTTTATGTTCCTTACGCCATAAATTAGAATGCCCTATAGAACTACAAAATATTCATTTTACAGCAGTTCATAGTAATGAAATAAATGGTTAAGATAAAAGAAATAAAAATCATATGAGTTTAACCTCCATCGGATAACTTGATAGGGTCTGGGATGTAACCTTTACTCGCAATCCTCCTGCTGTTCAGAATCAGAATCTTGGTTTTCTTGATATTAAATGGTTAAATAAAGGGATGAGCTACACTATCGTAATAAGAATATCACACTAATCACTGATGTTGAAAACTGAAGGTTGGTAAAAAGAATCACAAAACAACCAATAGAGTCATTCACTTTCTTAAATAAATTCATTTAACTTAAAAATTGTTATTTCATACTTACCCTTATGAATTTTTAAAAAACAACCTATGAAGACAATAACCCGAATAACATTGTGATTTCATATCCAAACGAGCAATAATAATATTTTACCTTCTTACCCCCTTATTAGTACCTTTGGGGGTCCATAAGGATCTCGCGTGGACCCAAATTCCAAGTTATCGATTAACTGATCATCTCCATACCTCATCCGGTAATGGGCACCAAATATACCACTACCTCAATACCCCATCCAGTAATGAGGGTGGATTATATCTCTCAACTCTTTTCGGTATGGGACTTCTCAGTCCCATTCGAGTGAGATAATGTCTACGGTAGGATTTTTTTATGTACCGAATTTATACACCCTTTTGCAGGGTATCTGATAAGTCTTTCGTTCATAGATTCACATCATTAACTAAACACCAGCCATATACCAATATCACATTTTTACCAATCAACAGTAAATCATGCAAATAGACAACACGTAATCCAATCAACAGTAAGTCATGAAATTTAGACAACACGTAAATCTAGGAAACATGATTAGGATATTTATTACAAATAAATCAACAGATGAGGACAATGCAGTTTGGTAACTAAATAAGCAATAAAGCAATTAAAACCAGTAATTTAAAGTAAACGATATGATAATAAACATTTTAGGTAGTATAAGAGAAAATAAACAACATGTTAGGACAAATATACACTGATCAGTTCCGCCTTTACTAGTAACTTGTAATTAATTTTAGGGATTTCTAATTTTCATAAAACACAATATTATTGATTATTAAATTTTAATTTACCATAACAGGAAAAAGAGTGAGGGATTCTTACCCCAGATCAATGTTCAAAATACTGTACTTTTCATTGCGCCTCCTGTCGATCCTTGAGTTTTTTGAATTTTTCTTGCAGAAATTAAAAATACCCGTCACGTATCTAAAAATACCTCAAAAAGCCAAAATAGGCGTTTTAAAATTTTTTTGGCCAATTTTAAAGTTCCGGCACAGCAGTGTTACTGTATTTCGGCATCGGCTCAGTTGCCCACGGTGGTGATTCCTCTCAGCCTAGCCGTTTTTGGCCGTTTAGGCCGATTTTAATGAGTTTTGCATGGAAACCTGCAAAAAACTAACTTCGGGGGCCTCTATTGGCC